ACACACCCCAAAATACTTATACACATCACAAATGGTTAAAAATGCTAGGAGTAATTACTCATCACAACACAGAGGCAACTTGATTTTTTTTTACTTTTCAAACAAAAAACAGGCACCACATAGAATTTTGTCAGACTGATTTTTTTTTCTATAATTTAAGAGAGCCATAAGCTCTCTTTTGTCTGCTAAGGCCAAAAAAACTAAGGCATATGGCTTTTTTTTACTAACTCAGGTGTCTTTCAAACACTAACGAATTAAACAATGTCCTGACAAAACAGGATGAAACAAATATGAGGAGGTAAGAGACATTTTGGAGAAGTCAGATTTTTCAGTACCAAAAGCAATGAAAGAAAAGGGTAAGATGAAGTAATGCACCTTGATTTTCAGAAGGAGAGGTCATGATGTAATGACAATTATCATTCTAAGTCGGATATACTTACCTGCATTTTGAAAGAAGTTGTGGAACAAGAAGTAAGTTTGCAAATAACTATTTAGCACCAGAAACACAACATGTAAAGGAGTTGACAAGAAACTTACTAAGTTCAGTGTTTATTCATCACCCCCTCCCCATACTCAGGAAATATATATATATTTGGAAACAATATCAAACACCACTGCCTGATTTAAAAATATTTCTGGATCTCTTATTGATCAATATCTCTTACAGAAAGGATGAGAGTATAGCATCTGAACTAAACAGTATTATTAGAAAATGATATTGTGAGCATTAGGATGTATAATTCATGTTGCTTTCATTTGCTCAGACCACTGTAAAAATCCATAAATCATTTTCTTCTTCATGTATTGCTTAAGTGCAATTTGTCATTTTGTATTAGAGGGCTACTTCAGCTCATTGGTGCTTTTAATTCACTGTTTAGAGTTTAACAAAATGCTGGCCCTGTCATATAACTGAAAAGACACTGAAATGTGAAGCCGTAACAATATTAACTAGGTTAAACAAAATGGGGAAGAAGAACATTTCTACTACTTTGAATATCAAGTAATCTTTAATGGGGCATCTAGTATTCTCAATTCTCAAAACATGGATTGGTTTGTTCTCGATTGGGTTCAAAACATTAGAACATAGAAAATATAGTTACCTAAATGCTTATAATAGCATATGCTATAAATGTTTTCCAGAAACCTTAGTCAACATGCACTCTTTACTGTACATGAGCAGAAACCAAAACAGTCTCTCTGGCATTGACTCCAAAGCCTTGCCTTCCCACCTCTTACCTTAGGTTGCACTACCACAAATAAACCTATTTCATGGTTACCCCTAAGAAAGGCAATACAGTCCAGGTCATTTGCCTTGCTCTCTGCATACTGCTTGCTGCAAATGGCAAGTGCCAGGAACCATCTAGCTCAATTCTGGTCTGTTCTAGTATTTGAAAACCTCCTTATTGTTAATGTAAATTTTTTTCTTCAAAAAACATCTTGTCTTAAAGCTCTTGGCACACTGCAATAATAAGAGGATTTAGAAACAAATTGCTTTGAAGTCAAGCTAAATCATTGCAAACACTCATTTAACCACACGTTGTTTAATAAACTTGTTTGCTTCCAGTGTCCAGAAAAAAGTAGGGAATAAAGCAAACCCGTTAACCAGTTTCAAAGTTTTTAACTATGAATATAAAATGCATTTGTGGGATCCTCAGCTTCCCCTCTGTATCTGCTGTGCTTAGAAGCCAAAGAAATAGACACTCAAGTGTGTATTATTACTCTCATACACCAAGCAGTTACTTGAGTGAAAATTGATTTTGATAACCCCCCCTTCAAATAACAATAACCACTTTTCCCCTCTGTTTTGGGATGCAATTAGTTTAGGCCCAGAGAGTTGGCGTTCCAGAAAAGGGCCGTTGGGGATAGGAATGGAGGGTTGTTTGCTAGGGATTGCTGCTCCCTCCCTCTTCCCGCAGTGGGGGCGGGGGGCGCAAGGGCACAGTTTTACTCGGTGTTCTGCTCTGCAAAGAGGTCTGCAACCCCATCACCCAGGCGGTCATTTATGTAATCATGTCCTCACTACATTCTGGGATCCACGGAGACTGGAAAAAGAAGATGGAAAGGGGAAAAAATCTGCTTGACTGACACAGAGAGGAAGAAAGTAAATCTGTTACATTTTAGAGTTATTTTTAAATGGTAAACTTAAAGTGCTGTCTTGTTTTGTGGGTGCGGGGTGGGAGTATGTAATGGTTCCAGGAGGAGCCAGAGAAGGGAGGCAGAAAAGGCTCTTAATGCCAGTGTCTAAATTTTGTCCGCCGAACAAAATGCTCTTGCAATTGCCCTTGGCTGGAACCACCTAGAGAGGCAGACCGGCGGGCTCAGGTCTGTTCTCCCCGGCAGAAGACCCGTCGTCACTCCGCCCGTACCCGGGCATCTCGGAGACTACAAGTCAGAAAGGCGAGACCTCTGGAGGACCTGGGACAGCGTCGCCAGAGCGAACTCGGGCCTCGGAGACCCGACAAATCCTGCAGAGCCCCCAACAGGCGAGCCGGGCGGAACGGGAGCTCCAAAAGCAAAATTCTCTGGCTCGCCATATGCTCCTTTCGCCGCTAGGAGGCGCCTTTAACCCACGTTTGCGGAGAGTGTTCCCTGTTCAAACAACTGTTAACAAAAAAAAAAAAAAAAAAAAAAGGCAGCTCAAGTGTTACAGTGGATGTAGTGATTATTTACAGGCAAATCTGGCCATCTCTCCACGTTTTCATCTCCACCTCTGGAAGCTCTTCGGCTCTCAGCGAACGCCCTGATCTGCTCAAACTTCATCGACATTTTGAGAGCACAAACGCTCTTCCCCATATTCGGGATCTGCATTGTCATTCAGCCTTAGGTCTCTCACACGCAAACACACGCGCACAAGCGCATACATACAAGTGTTTCCATACGTACAACTGAAAACATTAGAAAATTACCGTCATTTAAAAAATTCTCCAGAATTCTGATGAGTCAGCTTGAAGAGCTCAAAACATTTCATTTCAATCCTGCAGATCTAAACAAAAAGTAAAGGAGGAAAGGGTAGAAAAGTATAGATGCAGTGTTGTTAATATTCAGATACACTATAATCTCCTTTTCACTGATCCACAGGTCGTTTTATAAACTGCCGCTCCATTCTCAGCCACAGAAGGGAAGCTAAAATCGTTTTAACTGCAACGGTTTTCGCTTGGATTTGACCGGTCGTCAATTTACTGCAGCTGGAAACGGATTAGCCATTTTTGCTGGCATCTGTTCACTCTAACTGCTCAAAGGCAGGACCCATCTTTGTGAACGAGCCCAGGGGCGGGGGCCGAGGGAGGAGACTCGCACTCCCGGGACTCACAAGGACAGGCCTCAGTCTACGGTCACGCCCGTGGACACCCGTCCTCTCTAAGTCACTGCCAGGAGGGAAAGCAACGTACCTCGGGGTCGGGAAACGACTCTCCTTTTTCCGCAGGTTGTGGCGGTGTTACTCTCGGGTCATTCATTACCACCGCAAGGCACCTTCCTATCTGGTGGCAGACGAAGACTGAACGGGGGCTGCTTTAGTGAATCAACCACCTACTACGGCCCATTAACTAATATTAAAATTCAGTTTAAATATTTTTTCTTTGAGAACTAACATGCAATCCACTCTCTAGCACGGAGACTTCGCGCTGTATTGTTAACTTCACAAGAACTGGATGCGCCAGATGCTCGGCTTTGCCCCCGCTCCTCGCGAGTGGGCACTCGGCGCTCGTCAGGCGCAACACCGGGGAGCCAGCAGGCGGGTGGCGACTCCTCTGGGGCAGACACAGAGCAGTGCGCGGGCCGGGGAGCGCGGGCGCGAGCACCGGGGATGCACTCGCGCGGCCGCAGATGCCAGCCGCGGCACACGCTCCAGACCCTTCCCGTCCGCTCGTCCGCACGCCCGCCCTCCTCCGTTCGCCACTGGCCCGCCGTCCTCAACCGCAATCTTACCCCAGGCTCTGAAAAAATTGATGTCGAGGTCTAGCATGGGGGCGGGGGTAGGAGTCTCTAGCGGTCAGGAAAAAGCAGAAAATACTGCGCGCGCCGCCACTGTGCAGCGCCCGGCCTGGAGGCGCAAGGATACCCATGGCGCCGCGGTGCGTCAAACGTTCTTGGCGCCGAAGCCAGTGAATCCGACTGGCGGGTTGGAAAGCGGAGCTCAAATGAAACTACTCCTCATTGATCCTAGCGTTCACAACTAAACTAGGTCCCCAAGCGTATTAGTCTATTTGGTCAGAATATTGTGGATGCACACTTAAGAGGGGAAGCGGCGAGCCTGACGCGTGCGCCCGTCTACAGGAGCTGCCAGCCCTCACGCTCCGGCGTGAATCCCTCGGCTTCAGGACCATCGCCGTCCCACTCTCCGACTGGCTCACTCCTTTCCCACGGCCCCCTGGACCCTCACGCCAGTTTGATACGGGCCACATTTTATCCATGTTAATAATGTCTTGCCAATCTCTGCGGGAGCCCCTTCGTTAAATAACCCTTGCCAATTAGGAGCCCTCTGCAACTTTTTCCCGTTCTCGGTTATTTATTTCCACGATCAATATAGCAAGGAAAATACCTTAAAGGAAAAAGAATGTTAGCGTCATTGGAAACCCCGCTCCTGGGAGAGAACACCGCTGCCGTTGCTATTATGATTTCGCATTTGCTGATGCAAACAGGGGAACCTCTCTATTCCCTCCCCATTACCTGCGGCTGGGGACTGGGAAACATTTGCTGATGCAAACAGGGGAACCTCTCTATTCCCTCCCCATTACCTGCGGCTGGGGACTGGGAACTTTCCGCGGCAGTCCCCAGCCAGAGCCTCGGGACCTGCCGGTCTCTCCTCGCCCTCACACTCACACTCACCCGGGCAGCCGGGCGCGGGTTCTCTCAGCACCTCCCCGCTGCCGCGTGACGCGCCTGCTTGACGGACAGCTCGGCCAATTAGCGGTGGCTCGGTGGGTGGTGCTCCTCAGCGATTGGTTGGCAGATTGATAGAGCTGCGCAAAAGCACAGAAGCGGAGCGCTCGGAGCTCAGAAACTGCCAGCCGAGACCGCGGGCTTAAGGGCTGAGGCAGAAGGAGGGAAGGACTGGGAGACAGGTCAGAGGGAGAGAGGCTTGGGAAGCAGAAAAGAAATTGCTCATCACACTTACACAGAGGCAAATGACGGTGGAGATGAGGACAGAGACAACACAATGAAAGCCAACAAACGCAAATAGAGCGAGAGAGGCAAAATGCCAAGAAGAACATCCATCAAGAGAAATGAAGAGAATGAAAGTTTTATGCTGCAGAGCCGTTCTATGCTTTTCCGGCACAAAATTCTCTCGTTGTTTTTAAGCCCTTTTGCATTTGCCAGCCGTTGACATTGAGGCATGTTCAGCGGTGCCAGCAGCATCTCCTTTTCCTACTCTTCCTCTTCATCTTCCTCCTCCTCCTCTTCCTCTTTTTCCTCCTCCTCCTTCTCCTCCCATCAGCAAGAAGACAAACCGAGGACAGTCTTGAAATACCGAGATTTCCTCCTTGGGATTTGCCAGCGCCGCGTTGCGCCAAGACTGTCGGAATAAAGGACGCTGACTATTGTACTATTATTTTATTAATTGGTCAGTGGGAAGATTACAGATGAGGAAAGGGGACGCCTGTCACCCTTCCTGCGCTAAGATTGAAAAATGAGGGTGAATTGGGGAAGCCCTAAAATGAAGCAAAAGGAATAAGATTTTTAAGGACAGAAAGCCACAGGAGCCCCACACATAGCGCACTTTTGTTTGTTGTTTTATTTTGGGGGTTTTTTTGAGATTTTTTTTTTTTCATAGTGGTGGGGGAGGTGTTGGGTGACTGACTGGCTGCGGGAAGCTGCTTCCTTTCCCTTTGGAGATGATTGTGCTATTATTCTTTGCCTTGCTCTGGATGGTAGAAGGAGTCTTTTCCCAGCTCCACTACACGGTGCAGGAGGAGCAGGAACATGGCACTTTCGTGGGGAATATCGCTGAAGATCTGGGCTTGGACATTACAAAACTTTCGGCTCGCAGGTTTCAAACGGTGCCCAACTCTAGGACCCCTTATTTGGACCTCAATCTGGAGACCGGGGTGCTGTACGTGAACGAGAAGATAGACCGCGAGCAAATCTGCAAGCAGAGTCCCTCTTGCGTCCTGCACCTGGAGGTCTTTCTGGAGAACCCCCTGGAGCTGTTTCGGGTGGAGACCGAAGTGTTGGACATCAATGACAACCCTCCCTCCTTCCCGGAGCCGGACCTGACGGTGGAGATCTCTGAGAGCGCCACGCCAGGCACCCGCTTCCCGTTGGAGAGCGCATTCGACCCAGACGTAGGCACCAACTCCTTGCGCGACTACGAGATCACCCCCAACAGCTACTTCTCCCTGGACGTGCAGACCCAGGGGGATGGCAACCGATTCGCGGAGCTGGTGCTAGAGAAGCCTTTGGACCGAGAGCAGCAAGCGGTGCACCGCTACGTGCTGACCGCGGTGGACGGGGGAGGAGGGGTAGGAGGAGGAGATGGAGGGGGAGGCGGCGGGGGAGGCGGCCTGCCCCCCCAGCAGCAGCGCACCGGCACTGCCCTACTCACAATCCGAGTTCTGGACTCCAATGACAATGTGCCCGCCTTTGACCAACCCGTCTACACTGTGTCTCTACCAGAGAACTCTCCGCCCGGCACGCTTGTGATCCAGCTCAACGCCACAGACCCAGATGAGGGCCAGAATGGCGAGGTCGTGTACTCCTTCAGCAGCCACATTTCGCCCCGGGCACGGGAGCTCTTCGGACTCTCCCCGCGCACCGGCCGGCTGGAAGTGAGCGGCGAGCTGGACTATGAAGAGAGCCCAGTGTATCAAGTGTACGTACAAGCCAAAGACCTGGGCCCCAACGCCGTGCCCGCGCACTGCAAAGTGCTAGTGCGAGTGCTGGATGCTAACGACAATGCGCCGGAGATCAGCTTCAGCACTGTAAAGGAGGCGGTGAGCGAGAGCGCGGCGCCCGGCACAGTGGTGGCCCTGTTCAGCGTGACCGACCGCGACTCAGAGGAGAATGGACAGGTGCAGTGCGAGCTGCTGGGGGATGTGCCGTTCCGCCTCAAGTCTTCCTTCAAGAACTATTACACCATTGTGACCGAGGCCCCCCTGGACAGAGAGGCGGGGGACTCCTACACCCTGACCGTGGTGGCTCGCGACCGGGGCGAGCCGGCGCTCTCCACCAGTAAGTCCATCCAAGTGCAAGTATCAGATGTGAACGACAACGCACCGCGGTTCAGCCAGCCGGTCTACGACGTGTATGTGACCGAGAACAACGTGCCTGGCGCCTACATCTACGCGGTGAGCGCCACAGACCGCGATGAGGGCGCCAACGCCCAGCTAGCTTACTCTATCCTCGAGTGCCAGATCCAGGGCATGAGCGTCTTCACTTACGTGTCCATCAACTCCGAGAACGGCTACCTGTACGCCCTGCGTTCCTTCGACTACGAACAGCTCAAGGACTTCAGCTTTCAGGTGGAAGCCCGGGACTCCGGCAGCCCCCAGGCGCTGGCTGGCAACGCCACTGTCAACATCCTCATCGTGGATCAGAACGACAATGCCCCTGCGATCGTGGCGCCCCTGCCAGGGCGCAACGGGACTCCGGCGCGTGAGGTGCTTCCGCGCTCGGCAGAGCCGGGTTACCTGCTGACGCGCGTGGCCGCAGTGGACGCGGACGACGGCGAGAACGCCCGGCTTACCTACAGCATTGTGCGGGGCAATGAAATGAACCTCTTTCGCATGGACTGGCGCACCGGGGAGCTCCGCACAGCGCGCCGGGTGCCGGCCAAGCGCGACCCCCAGCGGCCTTACGAGCTGGTGATCGAGGTGCGCGACCACGGGCAGCCGCCTCTGTCGTCCACGGCCTCTCTGGTGGTGCAGCTGGTGGATGGCGCTGTCGAGCCCCAGGGAGGGGGCGGGGGCGGTGGGGTGGGGTCCGGGGAGCACCAGCGCCCCAGCCGCTCCGGTGGCGGGGAGACCTCTTTGGACCTCACCCTCATCCTCATCATCGCACTGGGCTCGGTGTCCTTCATCTTCCTGCTGGCCATGATAGTACTAGCTGTGCGCTGCCAAAAAGAGAAGAAGTTCAACATCTACACGTGCCTGGCCAGCGATTGCTGCCTCTGCTGCTGCTGTGGCGCGGGGGGCTCGACCTGCTGTGGACGCCAAGCGCGGGCGCGCAAGAAAAAACTCAGCAAGTCCGACATTATGCTGGTGCAGAGCTCTAACGTCCCCAGTAACCCGGCCCAAGTACCCGTGGAGGAGTCCGGGGCCTTCGGCTCCCACCACCACAACCAGAATTATTGCTACCAGGTCTGTCTGACCCCTGAGTCCGCCAAGACAGATCTGATGTTCCTTAAGCCCTGCAGCCCTTCGCGGAGTACGGACACTGAGCACAATCCCTGCGGGGCCATCGTCACAGGCTACACAGACCCGCAGCCCGACATCATCTCCAACGGAAGCATTTTGTCCAACGAGGTAAGGCTGAAGCGAAAGGACCACCATCTCTCATCTCCTCCATCTGAAAGCCTCCTCTAGTCCGGCCCTTGAATCTCTGGTGCGCTGTGTATTTATTTTTAGGATATTAGCTTATTTGTACCTTTGTAGGAGCAGAAATGGGGAGGTCACCCTATCCCACCCCTTCGTGTGTAACCTAAACTTCGTGTTGTCCCCATTTTTCTGCGCTCCATCCTCCTCCACGTTTATTTCCATGTCCTTCCTTTGGTGCTTTGCCACCTTGTACCTTCCTTCTTCCCTCCCTCTGGCATCTGTCCTTTAAAATCCTGGCCCCCTCACAGTCTTTCACTTTTTGGATCTGTGGGTAAAGGGGAATTTGCGCGGGGGCGGGGCGGGGGGGAGGGAAAAGCTGTGGAGGGCCTTTCCTGCACTGGCAAAAAAGGTCTTTTTCTCTTTGCGTTTGTCCCAGGCGTGAATAAAGTTAATTCTGTTTTTGCTTTGTTTATCGATGCTCTTAGTCGCTTGTAAAAGTAAGCTATAGATTGTTTAACTTTACATAGCTGTCTATAAACTCGAATGTATGTTTCAGTAAATGAGTTATCAGATCCTTGTCCTCTGAACTCGGGTTGCAGAAAAGCCTTCAGTTCTGCCCAGGACAGCGTTTACAGACGCTCTTGAAGCCTAACGCCCACACAGTGTGAATTTGAATGAAGTTGCTTTGGCACTAACCCCTGTAAACGTAAACTAACGAAAGGCTTAAACAATTGTTGTCTTAAATATATCTTTTAGTTAATAATCACCTTCTTGCCACTGTGTTTGATACACTGATGTTGGCTTTTTCCTCATCAAAGAATCTGCTTGTCAATTTCGATTTCTTTTTAAAAGTTGGAGAAGTGGCAAAATTGGAAGGAGGGAGGGGGAGAATAGAGTTGATTTATGTAAAAGAAAAGTTTGGACCGGAAAGGGTGTATGGGTGGTGGAGGCGGGGAGGAGAATCAGAGGGTGTTTGGAGGGGAAAAAGAATTGGAGCGGGAGGGAGGACTATGAACTCCTTTCCTGGCAGGTTATTTATTTGAGTCTTAGATATTATTGACTTTCATGAATATTTGTACAGCTCATTTGTATCTTAAGCACATTTTGAAAATAAACAACAAGATAATTCCATAAAATAACCAAACTTTTTGCTTATTGAGCGTGCTGTTTTTCTTGTGTCAACCTGTATACACCTAAACACTGCTTCAGGCCACTGAAAGAAAGAGTGCAGAGTATAACTAGGTTGACTGTTTTAGAGACAATAGTTCATGAACCCTACCTATGAGGTCATTTGTATTCATTCTCTCCTTTAAAATAAGCCCACTCATTAAAAATTGGCCTTTTATTTCTGCATTTTTCTTCTTCTTCTTCATCTTCTTCTTTTTTTACCTTTACTGAAAATCTAGATCGAGATGTCTGCATATTTTCCTGCCCTTACTAAGCAATCACTAGACTGAGGTCTTAGGAAAGCTTGGAAATTCATAAAAATGTACACAATAACTTAAGCTAGAATTAGTTCCTAAACTCAAAAGCAGACTATTAGTTAAACCCTTAGCATTCAAATGCTCTTGGTTTATTTATTTTTTTTCTAGACTAAACACCAGCGAGCAGAGCTCAGCTATCTAGTTGACAGACCTCGCCGAGTTAACAGGTATGGACTCCTCTTTTTCCCAGCTTGGGGTATGAACAATTAACTATCTACTTAATGTAGAAATTAGATATATTATTCAGTATTAAAATATAAAATGTATGAAGTACCCCCAACTAGGGCAGGCCATAAATAATGATTATGTTGGGGGTTCATGGACAGTATAGTAAAAACATGGGTATATTTCATTTATATACAACTTACCAAATATAGTAGAATATTTTGTCACTTAACATGCCTACACTGCTACTGGTAGTCTTCCTAACTGTACTGGGTGTATATATACATTTCTTTTATGAAAATGATGTAACCATATACTTAGCTCAAATCATAGAATAATGACTAAACTTTACATGCCTTAAGGGCTCAAACTACTAATATTCAATTTTAAAGAATTAGGTTTAAGGTTATGAAAACTAGCTTTATGCAGAAATAAAGCCAACTGAGATCTGTGAATCTGCAGCACCATTGGTGACCATGTGGTGGCAGAAGAATATTTTATGTGTTTCTTCACCCTTTTTATTCTGATATTCACATTCTGTCCTTCTAGTTCTGCATTCCAGGAAGCCGACATAGTAAGCTCTAAGGACAGTGGCCATGGAGACAGTGAACAGGGCGATAGTGATCACGACGCCACCAACCGCGGCCAGTCAGCTGGTAAGTGTGTTTGTTCAGAGGTTATGCTGACTTTTATAGTTGTTTTTTGTTTCTTAAATAAATCTAGAAATGATGATGTCCTAGATAATTATCTTTAAGTTTAATATTAGTAAATCTATAGAAAAATGGTGTCATTCTATGTTGATAATTACATACTTAAAGATCATTATAAAAATATAATGTTTCTTTGGAAACATTTTTTTAAAGTTCATTTAAAGTTCGTGTGGAATGTGTTAGAATATGAAATATGTCTTCCTTATGTGATGTTCTTTAATGGAATTATATTGCATACAAAAAGTTATAGATTTCTCACCTGGTCTATTCCTCAGCCTTCAGTCAATTAGGGTATTATTAGACTCCCTTATGGATGAGGTAACTGAAGATGAATGAGATTGATTGACCTGCACAAGGTCACAAGAGTATAAGTGGATGATTGGGGACTAGAATCTAAATTTCTTGCTATTAAGAGCAATGCATTTTGCACTGAGTATTGAATAAAGAAGCAATGGTGATTAAACCATGAATAGGTTGAAAGCAGGGTTTCCAATCCTGGGTTCTTAGGCTTCGGGACATTGATAATCATTTAATAATGTGTGTTTTTGGAAGCATCCTGAGATGCCTCGTATCTTCAACAGGGTCTATGACCTGTCAGAAGTTGAACTCTGTGTATATTTGCATGCAGGCTTAACAGTAGTCACTGATGGGTGTTGCAATGTGATGCATATATTTTACTTTATTTTTATCTATATAAATTTAACATTTAAGTTTTATGGGATTCTGATAACTCTTAATTACTAATATGGAAAGAAAACCCTTAATAAAATATGTACCTTCAAATGATGAAACTAATTTCATAAAATTTGAATTTTCTTTCCACTTTATTTGCATTTCAACTCTGAAGCCTACTTGTAGAAGTTCCTTACTTTTATCTTTTTCGAGTGAGCTTTGTGTATAGCTGACACATAAAGAAGTGGAAAGGCAAGTCAGCTTTTGTAACTTCTAAAAATGTCCATCATCAAACAGTCTTTAGGTCAACTCCGTTGCTTGAGATTTGAGCTTTATTTTGGCTAATGGCATACCCATAGAGTGATAGGGTCCTCACTTTAAAGGTAGCATTGGTCCTCGAGAGCACCCATTCATTAGCACACTTGGTAGACCTCCGAGCGGTGCTGAGGCCATGTGTCAAAGGGCAGCATCCGCCCCACGGTCGCTTGGCAGCAGGAGTTGCAGCAAGCCTCTCACTCGGCTAACGTGTGCTGTGTCTGCGGCTGCCTTAGCCTTGGGAAACACAGGCAGGAGGAGGGGAAGAAAGGCTGCTCAAGGGTCTCTTTATATTGCTGCAAGTCATTAATATGCAGACCTAATGAGACTTGAGAACTGCCAAGAATCCCCGGAGGTCCCTGCCCCTTGCGGGCCTGCACGCTAAGTGAACAGAGCATCTATTTAGTGTCTGGGAACCTGACAACAAACTAGATCTTGCCAGAAGTTTATATCTGAGTACAAAGTCCCTTTCATTTTTGGCCTATATATATGGCATATGATTTATTGTTACCTTTAAAAAGCTGTGCATTTTGAATTGCTCATTCCTATTCTTTTTTCAGTTTCTAATTTAATAGTCAGCTTTTTAAAACTTGTAAAACAAAATGTTTAATGTTTAAAAGAGAGTATCTGCTTCATGTTCCCTCGGATGCATTTTATTCTTTTCCCGTCCCCAACCCTCACTTTTGATTTTTTCTGTAGCACTCCAATCTCCATGAACATTTCAATTAGCTTAGTCCCTCAGACATAATGAGCCATAATAACCTAACTGAAGAAAGAGAAAGAAATAAACATCTGCAAAAAGTGCTAAATTTGGACGATTGATGGAACTATATTCTTATCAATGCTCTTTCCCAGTAGCTATTTTGTTTTACAGGCATTCAATGTTGCCATTTTTGCATTGTTTCTTTCAAATTGACATTAAAAAGAAAATTAAAATGCTAAATAGAGTTCTTAAAAAAGTTTTAAAAAGCAAGGCTTTTTTATTTTTCTTTCTAAAATACAGAAACATTTTTCTCAATCCTTAAGTTCCTAAACACGTAAAAGTATTACAGGATTAACAATCTGTCACATATTTCATTCGCAGCACAGGGCAGCCATAACATACTGGGCACAATAATAGCTGTTTTGGAACTGTGAAAACACACTTGTATTAAGAAATAATCACACTTTTGTGTGCTGAATTGCAATCATATTTAATGTGTATAATATCACTGTAAGATTTTGAAGTGTTTTCTTTTTTTGAGTATAAAACCCTAAATGCAGATAAAGTACATTTACTTAATGACTTTCCAGCCCATACTGATGTGTACTATAAACTTCATACCAAGTAGCTAAAATGTTTCCTAAAAGTTAACCCCATTTCAGGTAAACAAGTACATCTATTCAATTTCTTGTAAAGCCAGGTATTAATGATCTTCCAGTTTTGTGTATTTAGGAAATTTTTTCCTAGCACATCTATTTCCAGGATAAGGACATGAAAAGAATTCAAGCTAATAAGCAGATCTCAGTCAGTGAGTCTTTAGGGGGAACAGATTAGATTATCAAGGAAAGATAAAACTGGAAAGATACCAATTCTGCATTCTCTACTTTGTACTTCATTCCATATTACATTATTTACACTATTTAGTTCAGCACTTCACCTGTTTAAATTTCGGAACTTCTTGTTTATTCCCACTTTCTTTTCTATGTGAGCTTTACTTTGTATTTATTTATGTAGATATGACTTCTATTTTTCTCTTCTTTGAATAGTTTTCTTTTTTGTTCTTTCCCCCTTCCCCCTTGCTTTTTTCCTTTCTAAGCCATTCGCAGTCACCAATCTTGTTCATAGAAGGGCTTTAAACACGGAGGCAGCTGCACAGAGAATCACACAAGCTTTTTGAGTTTTCCACTGCACCTGGCTCCATGTGTGAAATTCTTCGGTTTGACCACTGCTCTGTGGCACTTTCTTTCTATAGCCTTGTCAAGGTGCTTTCCGTTTTTTTCTCTGCACTATTGATGTATTGGTTAGATATGGCAGAAGTCCAAGGAAATGTGGTAAATGTGTGCATAAACCATCACAGGAGGAAAAACTGATTAATCAGAGCTAAAATAGGCAAAATAAATAAACAAATAAAAGTAGACTTAATAGAAATACACTTTTAACTTTGCTTGTTATTAGACTAAAGGATAGACTTTTTTTCTGATTTAGAATACTGATACATTTTTAGTACTACAGTTTTAAATATTTAAATATTACTGGAGGTACATCTAGGGAGATCTATTTAGTCATAGGAAAAATTTTCCTCATTTATTAAATACTTAACACTGTGCATAATGCTAGGATTAAGTATGAATTTATATTTAATAATTGTGCCTTCTTAAAACATATATTGAAGAGAACCTTAATAAGTATGTTAATGTTATGATTTGCTGAAAATGATCAAATTGCTGTACTTGAACATTTTTCTTTCAGTTATAAGGAACTTAACTTCTAAATGTGTTTATTTCTCAATTATTATCAGATTGAAATATAATAAAATTTAGCTCTTTATTGAAAAACAAGATGATTTGAATTGTATCTTCAAACTAGTAAAGCATATCATGAAATGTATTAAGCCATTGCAGAACTACTGTGATATCAAGAGAATTCTTGATTGACCATAAATACCAAATTCTC